CCATTTGCCATTTGCATTGCTATTGACCATTTGGTGCACAATTAACTAAAATCGGTTGACGATATATATGGGAGTTATATATAAATTTCAATCGATTCTTACCAATTTCAATAGCGCCAAACAAATATTGTTTGAAAAATTTCATCTCAATCGGATAATAAATACGATTGTTCAAAAAATGCTTGGAAAGACGGAGAGACAGAAGGTCTGACATGCATAAATCGACTCAGAAAGTGATTCTATGAAGATCTTTAAAAGTAAATATGGGTCTATCTCGCTTTTTTCTCCATGTTACAAACAAATGAACAAAGACATAATACCCTTACCACTAGGTGATTTGGGGTATAACAACGGTATCAGTTTACCTCATTAAATGTTACCGCCCGATTTTAGGTATTTTTATTGACATCACTTTATTTTAACCAAATTTATTTTTATTTCTATGTCATCTTCTCAATTGGTTCTTTCCACACAGGTTCACGTTACGATTAATTTCTCATGCTACGGTACCACCCGAAATTTGCTATTTTTACGGTTTTAGTAATATTTTACAATCATTTTGTTACTAAAGATTGCAAAATACTTCGAAACTGGCTCATTTGTACATATTTTAAAATATTTACATTCCCTAAAGGTGTGGGTATCAAAAGATAAAAATTAACGCAATTTTTACACTTATTAGGGTAACTAAAATAATCATTTCCTTTAGTATTTAATAGCTTTTGTACTCTTATGCTATTGGAACTAAAAAGTTTTTGCTGTTAGAGAGAAATATATGGGTTTAAATATTTATTTTCGATATTCGATAAAATTGTATTTTACTTCAATACAACACAATATTGTGTTCACCTCTCAGAAACTTATCTTTCCAGTTTTGTTAGAATACCATATAAGTTAGCTGTTAAAGAAGGGTGTATGTTTTGTATTTCATGTTTTTTAGCTTCTAAAATTCTATGAGGAATCGTTTAAATTATTTTTTTACGTTTTATGGACTTTCATTCTTCTCCATGATTCACCCTGTAAATCCAATTCAAAATAAATTCTTCATAAGATTCATAGTAATATATTTCTATTGCCACTTTCTATTTTCAAATTCCAAAACACTAATTTTTTCGAATTAAATTTAACTTTTATGATCATCCTCCCTTCATTTTATGATGTGTAGACACCTTTTTTTCTATAGAAAAAATCTCTCTATTTACATACAAAATACTTTCCTCAAAACGAATCGAAATCACTTTTAATTTCAATTTTGATATTAATCAGACGTGGAACAAGAAGATTTAATTAATGCCAACAACAAAGACAACAACGAAAACAATTTTGAATAGTTTAATCAAGGCTTTACAGTTTAAGCAGGTTTGTGGCTTAAGTCTTTTGTTTTAATAGAACACTACATATGAGAGATACCACCAAGAGAGAGAGAGAGAGGGAGAAATTGGGAGAGAATGAGAACATACCTCATTTGAATGCTGAATACCAAACACAAATCATCTATTCATTTTGCATTGTGAAATTTCTCTTTGCCATTTCTTCTCAAATTCTTCTCTTCTTGCTAATGACAAGAAGTCACGTTTTCTGATTAAGCTTATCAAAATCCGTTGGCTTATGATTACGCTTACGTTTCTGTTTTTTTTTTTCTTGTTACTCACACTTATTTCTACAATAGATTTAACCCAAAAACCAGTAAATACAGACAGACCTCAATCTTTTTGCATATTTACGCTCTCGGGTTTTATTAAGGTCGCCGGCAATGTTTGTTGTTCTTGTGGCATTGTGTGTAAAACATCAAATTTAGCTCAAAATTTTAATATTCATTAATTCATTCTTATTAGCGAAATCAGACACGTAGTAAAAGCAAACATGCAAGCAACCAAAAATCACAAGTTCTTTTTTTTCTACACAGCCTTCTTTCCCCTATCCAAAGAAAAAGAAAAAAAGCAAAACTGGAGATTGATGGTGACGTTGTTGGCGTCACTCTAAAAGGGTTTTGATGTGGCGAAAGTTTGACCAAGAAACAAGTTTGATTGTTGGCTGGATTCGTGTGCTTACACAGCATTTGAAACTAACTTTAGCCTCTCAATCAACTGTTTTGCCGGTAGTTCTCAAATTGATGTGAAATTAATAAAATTAAATGCCTAGGGGTAAAAATGGTTTTTTAAATTGACATATTGCTACTTTTTGATTTGTCAGTGGGGTAGATTGGTGGTGTACATGGGATAGAGATCTTGAAAGAATCAACAGGAAAAAGAAGTCTTCAAAGATTTCCATACAAGGCCTTCAAAAGGTCTTCCCTTAATACACAATTTTCTGAAAATAGACTAACTAAGAACTCCTAGAAAAAACGGCTGAAGCTAGAATCTTGAAATTTTTCATGAGGTGCTTAGACCTGTGATAATGCTGGATTTCTGGAAATTCGTAGTAAAAGGGTACGAAAAGTAATAAAATGTACTAAAAATTGAATACTTTTCAAATTTCTATTCTGATATAAATCAGACGTGGAACAAGAAGATTCAATTAATGCCAACAGCAACAAGGAAAAAAATTTTGAATAGTTTTATCAAGGTTTTATAGTTTAAGCAGGTTTGTGGCTTAAGTTTTCTGTTTTATTGGAACACTACGTTTTTTTGGGTTTTTGGAAATTCGTACTAAAAGGGAACGAAAAGTACTAAAATGTACTAAAATTTGAATACTTTGCATTGGACAAACGGAATAAGCTAGAATTTTAAATTTGAAATAAGAGTCACTGATGAAGTTTAGGATAAATGCAACCATGGAAATATGGAAATTCGAACTTTAAGGTTACGAAAAGTTCTAAAATGGTACTAAACTTCTAAAATGGTACGATTTCGTATTATATTAACGGAAAGAGCTAAGCACTTGATGTTTGATACGAGAATCAAGGTTGGAAAATAAGTTTGATATATTAAGGTGGTTTTGAAAATGCGTACTAAGTGCGCGAACTGTACTAAATGGAATGGAACAGTTTGGTTTAGGGCAAACGGATGAATGTGGAATTTTGAAAGTTTGAAATGGTCTCCCTATTGGTGGTTTGGTAGGTTTGGGAAAGTGCGCGGAATGTACTAAATAGTACGATATTTGGTATATTTTGGTATTAAGAGAACAGATAGTGCTTGCAGTTTGCAATTTTGTATTAAGATCGCTATTTATGTGTAGCCATGACCCTTCATGTGTTCGAAAATGTGTACATTAATTGTACAAAGAGAACTGAATGGTAATATATTTTGTATTGGGTGAAGGCATATGATTAGAACCATCAAATTTGACATCAAAGTCTCTGTTGGCATCTGGAACTGAAATATGGGTTTGGAAATGTGTATTATAATTGTACGAAAAGTACTATATAGTACTAAATTTGGTACAATTTGGTATTGGGTGAAGAGATAGTGCTTGAAATCTGCAATTTAGTATTAGGGTTGCAGTTCCTTTGTAGCCTGGACATATGGAGGTGGTTTTGGATATGCGTACTATAATTGTACTAAGTGGTACTAAATTGGATATTGGGTGAAAGAATAGAGCTGGAATACCGAAATTTGATATTGAGGTCTCTGTTGGCATTTGGAATTGGGTTTTTGGATAAGTGTATTATAATTTTTCGAAAAGTACTAAATAGTACTACATTTGGTACGATTTGGTATTGGGTGAAGAGATAGTGCTGGAAATCTGAAATTCGGTACTAGCGTCGCTGTTCATTTGATAGCACGAAAGTACTGAATGGTAATATATACTATTACTATAATTGTACAAAAAGTACTAAATTGTACTTAATTTGATATTGGGGATAAAATCCTGAATTCTTAAAATGGATGACAAAGTTGATGTCTGTAGTTAAGATATGGAGGTGATTTTGCAAATGTTACGAAAAGTACTAAATGTGACTAAATTTGGTATTGAGCGAATATATAATCCTAAAATTTGTTATTAAGGTCCCTGTTAGTTTCTGAAGATAAGATTTGAATTTGGTTTTGGAAATGTGTGTTATAATTGTACGAAAAGTACTAAATTTTGAATTGGATATTGAGGTCTCTGTTGATATCTGAATTGAGATATGGAGGTGTTTTTGGAAATCTGTACTATAATCGTACGAAAAGTACTAAATGGTTATAAATTTCGAATTGGGTGAAGGGATGACCTGAAATCCTGAAATTTGATATTGAGGTCTGTGTTGATATCTGGAATAGAAGTATGGAGGTGGTTTTGTAAATGTGGTTTTAAGATATGGAGGAGGTTTTGGAAATTTGCGCTCGAAAAATACTGAGTGATACCAAATTGGGTATTGGGTTAAGGAAAAGAACTGAAATCCTGAAATTTGATATTGAGATCTCTGTTGGTATCTGGAATTGAGATATGGAAGTGGTTTCGGAAATGTGTACTATTGGTATTGGGTGTTGGGATGAGCTGGAATCCCGAAATTTAATATTGATTTCACTCTTGGTTTCTGTGGTTGAGTGAATGAGCTGCTTTTGGATATGCGAACTATAATTGTACGACAAGTACTAAGTGGCACTGGTTAAAGGGATGAGCTGAAATTTTATATAGATGTCACTGTTGGTATATGTTGAAAATAGGTACTATATTTGTACTTAATGGCACTAAATGGGGGAAATTTAAGAACTGGAATCCTGAAATTTTATATTAAGGTATCTTTTGGTATATGATATTGAGATCAGCTTGAAAGTTTCAAAATTTCAATTTGGTCATTTTGACTACTAAAAAGGCCTAACACGAACTGTAGGAACGAATCTAGAATTTTAAGGTTGACGGTTAGCTGAGGAAGTAGCAGGCACTTGAGAGTATATTTCATTTGATTTTTCACAAAATAATTTCTGAACAATTTTGATCTGAGAATCTCGAACATACCTTTGATAAACGTTTTGTTTTTTGTCTAAATTTTTGTAACAATTTCTGACAATTTAATTTTTTATATTTTTTCAAAATTATATGATTTTTTTATAAACAAAAAAATTGTATAAACTTACCGTCTCTTGAGGCATGGTGTTACAACTGCGCAATGGCAATTTGTAGCGTAAGGTTCCCTCGTGGTCTCTGTGAAATAAAAAAATGGTTAAATAATTTATTTTTATCAATTTTTGTCATCGTTCTTGTTTTTCTTATTTCTACCCACCTATATTCCGTCAAGCATGTCGAGTTTTTCGACAAACCCTTTGGATACACCATACCACTGAATAGACCAGTCTCATGATTAACGGGTGCATCTTTGATGGTAATCAACATGGAACCGGATAAACATTTGATTTTTACCGTCGGCTCGACCATGGGTTTTTGTGATGTTGTGGGTTCCTCATCGTCGGCATAGATATCTTCTGGAAGGAAATTATAGACAAATTGTAAGGAAAAGTTTAGAATTTTCGATTAAAGACAATGAGTGAGAAGTTTTAATAGATAACAGCAGCTGGAAACCGGTATCATCGGCTACACAATATTTTGAAGACATTTTATCAACCGATTTCATTCACAAAAATGGAAGTGGACCCAATATTTAATTCTGATACTTCCTTTCTTAAAGGTTTTCTTTTTACCTCATGACGGAGGCTATTCGGTTCGGCTAGTTTTTACTTTGCTTAGAATAACAAGTAAGCAAAGACAAAAGTCGTGCAGGGCCGGCCATTGAAAAAGCAGATTGACTGCTCCATACAGGATGAGATGAAAAAACTGCAACCATCTTCAGACTGCTGTCATTTCTAAGCCACTCGTCCGACAGCTGTTAAAATTATTCCAGTGATAGCTCATTATATTGTTTACAAGCCTACAAAAGCATTTTGGTGAGAATTTTCCAGAAAAAAGTTATTCGTGATGGAATTCAAGCGTGATGGTGTGATTTCTTTATATTTGGCTGGAAAACCACAAGTGGCTATCGTTAGAGCAGTCCAGCATTTAAATGTGAATAAATCTTTTGTGTTCCATGATATCGCTCGTTACCGTGATATTGCTAGCGTAGACCGACGTGGACGGAAGAAAACAGCAACTTCAGCAGAAATGGTTCAAAAGTAAAGAAATGACTTGATCGAAACCCGCGTCACAGTGGCTGAAAAATGGCTTGTGAGCTGAACATATCGCAATATTCCATTTGGCAAATATTGAAAAATGAGCTTGGGGTAAAGCCATTGAAATTTCAAAAAGTGCAAGAAATTACACCGCAACAGAAAGAAAATAGACTCAAAAGAGTTAAAGATTTGCTTCGCTTGGCCGAAAGTGGTGAACTGCAGAATTTGGCAGTTCTCCGATGAGAAAACATTGGTTGTCCAGCAGTTTGTAAACAAATAAAATGATCGTGTTTACTTGCCAAAGAGGTCAGCTGAAAAGGTGCACCTTCAGTTGGCCACCAGAAACAGAACTCAAGCGAATGGCATGCTGATGGTGTGGGCCGCCATAACAGCCGATGGCCGCTCTCCGCTCGTATTAATCGACCGTGGCCGCAGACCTTGGACATTCCAACAGGACTCAGCACTATCGCACTCAGCACGCGCCACCTAAGAATGGTTACGAAATGAGGTTCCTCGTTTCATTTCCAGAGCACAATGGCCAACATATCGCAATATTCCATTCGGCAAATGTTGAACAATGAGCTCGTGGTAAAGCCATTGAAACTCCAAAAAGAGCAAGAACTTACACCGCAACAGAAAAAAAATAGACTCAAAAGAGCTAAAGAGTTGCTTCGCTTGGCCGAAAGTGGTGAACTGCTGAATTTGTTTTTCTCCGATGAGAAAACATTCGTTGTCCAGCAGTTTTTAAACAAATAAAATGATCGTGTTTACTTGCCAAAGAGGTCAGCTGAAAAGGTGCACCTTCAGTTGGCCACCAGAAACAGAACTCAAGCGAATGGCATGCTGATGGTGTGGGCCGCCATAACAGCCGATGGTCGCTCTCCGCTCGTATTTATCGACCGTGGCCGCAGACCTTGGACATTCCAACAGGACTCAGCACTATCGCACTCAGCACGCGCCACCTAAGAATGGTTACGAAATGAGGTTCCTCGTTTCATTTCCAGAGCACAATGGCCACCTAAATTTGCTGATAGCAATCCGTTGGACTATTGTGTCTGGAGTATTTTGAAAGGCAAGTAGTGCCAAACAAAGTACCAAAGTGTCGATCACCTCAAGCAAGCGCTTCGCCGGGAATGGACCAAAATACCGCAGAGCAACATTCGGGCAGCGTGTGTCGGTTTCATTGGCCGTTTGAAGGCCATATTTCGTGCCAATGGTGACCAATTCGAACAAATCTAAACTTATTCTAAAATTTGATGCTATTTCCGATATTTTTTTGCTTTCATTCAATAAAATTTAAAAAAAATTAAAAATTATGGAGTTTGACTTTGTTGCAGTTTTTTATCTCACCTTTTATTAAAAAAAAATATTTTTGAAAATTTTTATTTTTGATTTTTTCCAATATATTTTTTTTAAGGAAGACAAAATTGTGGATTTTTAATATTTCCAGAACATGATTTTTTCTATAAATTACAAAAAAAAGTAAATAAATAAATATATATAAAGTGGAAATGTCTCAATGGGGTCTGGAAATTTTTAACAAAACATGCTTAGTCGTTCACAGTGGGCCCACTCTTACTTCCAAACAAATGAGTATTATTTGTTTAAGTTTTGTAATTTGAGCGATAATATTCCGCAAAAAAAGAACACACACCGTTCTATGTAATAGACCTGAATGGGAAAATAAGTGGTTGCTATTTGCAGTCCCCTCCCTTCCCCATTGAAATACGCGATAAAAATGACCATCAACAATAAATAGCAGAACATTCAAATAAAAATAAAAACAACAATGATATTAAATTGTTGAAGAACTAATAGCAACAACAACAATGATAAGAAATTATTAATGAATCAATAACACGTGTGTGTTTGTTTTTATTTAAACAAATACTTCAAATGAGAACCACTTTGAATGTTTCATGAAATATAACATGGTTGATATTGGCAAGTTTTGGCATAGAGTTGGAGCATTTCGGAGAAAGCAGTTGAGAAAAAAAAAACCATGTATAAGGAGTAAGTCGGAGAATTTTGAGATCGAATTGTTTAATATATATTCTTGGAAATTAATTTCCAGATCTACTTTATTAATTGTGTTGGGCGCCATTTTGGTGGGCACCTCAGGCCAGATTATTTACTCGGGACCATGTCCAGATAATATTCAAACCGTGGATAGTTTGGATATACAAAAGTATTTGGGTTCCTGGTATGAATATGGCAAATATCCCGTGTATTTTGAGAATGAGGGTAAATGTGTTATGGCCAAATACACCTTGAATGCCGATGGCTCGGTTAAGGTACAGAATAGTTTGGTAAATGAGAGGTAAGTTAAATAGGAAAAACATTACAATATTTAATTAAATTTGTGAATATATCTTTCTAGGACAAATATCTATGAAAACATTATTGGCTCAGCTTCGGTGGTTGCTCCGGGAAAATTATTCGTACAATTCCCCGTATCACCATCCTATAATGTGTCGAGTAATTATTGGGTTTTGGATACGGACTATGACAACTATGCCACCGTTTATTCCTGTACCCCATTGTCCAGTGAATCACATGCAAGTAAGTTGGAGGATTTATTTTTGTAAAATCCACAAATTGAAATTTTATTTTTAAAAATCTCTTAGCCATTGTTTGGATTTTAACCCGGGACCAAATACCCAGTGCCACTGTCATTGATAAGGCAGCCAGTGCCTTGGTAAAGAACAATATCTCTCTCTTGCCTTTGAAGATTACCAATCAAATTTCTTGTGGTGATGTTAAAGAACAAAAGGACATGTAATTAGGATGAAATGTGTAAAAAGCCGGATTCAAAAATAAAATTAAATTCAAAATTGAAATTGTTATTGAGGTTTCTGTAAATATGTATTTAAATTATATTACATTATTTATTTACAAATATATAATGTGTGCTAATTTTAATTCTTTTTTGAGCATCTAAAGTCGTATTTCAAAAATACTTTTAGAAAAGCTAAAAAGAGCTAATCAGTTACATCCTAGGACAAAATTCAAATTTTTCAATAATTGAAGGGAAAATTCAGCAGGATATGAAAGCAGAGTTAACAAGTAATAAAGCAGCTAACTTCTAACGGGCCAAACTTTATATACCCTCCACCATTTAGAAGAAACTTGAAAGATTTTAAAATAATTTCGTTCGAAATGAAAACCGTTGTATGGGGGCTGCAGCTGCCTGATTACTGATATGCGACAACAATTAACCAACAATTTTAACCCTTTAACCAAAGAGGTCTTCCTAATCCTTTTTTTATACCCTACACCACAAGGTGGTCAGGGTATTATGTCTTTGTGCATTTGTTTGTAACAGGCACATACACCAAAATTAGACCTGAAAATATGTATGCCAAATTTGATCGAAATCGGTTCAGATATAGCTATAGCTCCCATATATATTGTTCATCCGATTTGTTATTTTTGTCCTCCGCAGCCGTAATATGCACTCTGCAACAACAATATTTGGGGAAATATATCAAATACAGCTCAGAAATATCCTTGCCAAATTTTATCGAGATCAGTTCAGATTTGGATATAGCTCCCATATATATCTTCGTCCGATTTACCTTTGATTGTGCACCAAACGTCTAATATTTGCCCAAATGGGATGGAATTTGGCACTTACGACCGAATTGAGTCTGGAAGGTAGTATGTCAAATTTGGTGAATATCGGTTCAGATATAGCTATAGCTCCCATATATACTGTTCATCCTGTTTGTTATATTTGTTACCCACAACCGTAATATGCACTCCGTAACAACGATATTCAGGGAAATATATCAAATACAGCTCAGAAATATCTTTGCCAAATTTTATCGAGATCGGTTCAGATTTGGATATAGCTCCCATATATATTTTTATCCGATTTTAAATTATTTGTGCACCAAATGGGCAATACAAGTCCGAATTTAAAAGATACAAATGCTTCGGCATATTTAGTCCTTTGAACTTTAGATACCGAAATACATCAAAAGTCTAAAACGTAACCAAATGCCAGGAATACTAAAAAACTAATTTTAGAGCTTAAACCGCACTTCATGTGAGTTTATGTAAAATTCTCCCACAAAACCTTTAGAAGAAAGATATCAATTACAAAAACTATTTCTTTGTTTCCATTATATATCAAGAACCCAGTAAGGAGAGGTATGCGTATTTAGTAGAGCTCTCGTAACAAAAAAAGTTTATATTGGGAATTTATGTGAAGTAGATGATACCATCTATGAACCTTATTTGAATGCGTATCATGGCTTTAAAGTAGTCACAATTTGGGAACTATACAGGGTGAGATTAAAAAAACTGCAACAAAGTCATTCGCCATAATTTTTACATTTTTTTTACATTTTATTGAATTAAAACAAAAGATGTCGGAAATGGCATCAAATTTTAGAATAAGTTTAGATTTGTTCAATTTGCTCACCTTTGGCACGAATTATGGCCTCCAAACAGCCAATGAAACCGTCACACGCTACCCGAATTTTGCTCTGCGGTATTTTGGCCCATTCCCGGCGAAGCTCTTGCTTGAGGTGAACGACACTTTGGTATTTTTTAGTGCCAACCTTGCTTTCCAAAAATACTCCAGACTCAATAGTCCAAAGGATTGGCGAGGAATCTCATTTTGTAACCATTCTTGGGTGGCTCGTGTTGAGTGCGATGGTGCTGAGTCCTGTTGAAATGTCCAAGGTCTGAGGCCAAAATGTTTGCGTGCCCAAGCTTTAATAAACCCTCCAGAATATTTTTGAGATAATATTCGGCATTTATTATTCGGATGCCACGGTCGATTAATACAAGCGGAGAGTCACCATCGGCTGTTATGGCGGCCCACACCATCACCATGACCGGCACTTGAGTTCTGGTGGCCAACCGAAGGTACACATTTTCAGCGCACCTCTTTGACAAGTAAACACGATCATTTTGTTTGTTTCATTTTGTTTTTGTCATTTTGTTTGTTTTCTCATCGGAGAAAACCAAATTCGGCAGTTCACCACTTTCGGCCAAGCAAAGCAACTTTTTAGCTCTTTTGAGTCTAATTTCTTTTTGTTGCGATGTAAGTTCTTGCACTTTTTGGAATTTCAATGGCTTTATGCCGATCTCATTTTTCAATATTTGCCAAATGGAATATTGCGATATGTTCAGCTCACGAGTCATTTTTCGGTCACTGCGACGCGGGTTTTGATCAAGTCGCTTCTTTACTTTTCGAACCATTTCTGCTGATATTGCTGTTTTCTTCTGTCCACTTTCTTGACGTCGGGCTAAGCTACCAGTATCACGGTAACGAGGGATGGTACGAGACACAAAAGATTTATTCACATTTAAATGCTGGAGTACTGTAACGATAGCCACTTGTAGTTTTCCAGCCAAGTGTAAAGAAATCCCGCTATCACACTTGAATTCCGTCACGAATAACTTTTTTTCTGGAAAATTCTCACCAAAATGCTTTTGTACGCTTGTAAACAATATATTAAGCTGTCACTGGAATAATTTTAACATCTGTCGGACGAGAGGCTTAGAAATGACAGCAGTCTGAAGTCGGTTGCAGTTTTTTTCATTTCACCTTATATATGGGAGCTATAGGTAAACTGAACCGATTTACACCAATATTTAAAGTATTTGTTTCTGGGCTGAATTTCGTCGGAAGGGCATTTGGGCTGATATTAGCCATTTGGAGTACAATAAAACTTAAATGGGATATTGATATGTGTGGGAGTTACATCCAAATCTAAAGTGATCTTGGCCACATTTTAGTCACTTATTTCTGAGCTGTATCTGATATCTGGTACCAAAGATCATTGTTGTGAAGTGCTTATTACGCATGTTAGGGATTTAAAATCCCAAATATGTGGTAGCTATAGCTATATCTTAACCGATTTTCTCCAAATTTGATTTACTGGCTTCTAGACTGAATTCGGTGGGATGTACCAAAATACAGGTCATTTGGGCTGATATTGGCCATTTGGTGCACTACTAACCCGAAATCGGTTGAAGATATATATAGGAGCTATATCTAAATTTGAACCGATTTTCACTAAATTTCAATAGGGTTAGTCCATGTGCCAAATAAATATTGTTTGGAAAATTTCATCCCAATCGGATAATTTTTGTTCAGAAAAATACATGGGCAGGCAGGCGGTCGGACTGACTGACATGCATAAATCGACCCAGAAAGTGATTTTATGAAGATCTTCGAAGTAACTATGGGTCTATCTGGCTTCCTTCTTATGTTACAAACAAATGCACAAATATATAATACCCTTACCATTATGTGGTGTAGGGTATAAAAAGTGAAAGCGGGGGATTGTCCACCCTCCATGTTAGTTACTTTACGATGTAAAAATTCAAAACGCCCAAACAGGTGTCTTCTATTTTAAGCTCTGCTTTCAAATCTATTGGGGTTTTCTTGTAATTATTTTTTTTTGTGTACAGTGCTATTAAAATGCGTATTAATTTATAATAATTAACTAATTAATTTTGAAATTTAGAAGCAGTTAGAAATGAGGTTCCTTATGTTATTAAAGAATTTCTTTTCAATTTCAAGAGACTTGAAGAATAGTAACGTAGTTTTTTTGGAGAGACCACCATACTGCACTTTACATGAATAGGGGCAGTTCGTGATTAAATGAAAAGCGTAAAATTGAGCATCATTAGGTTCTATGCCATGCACTGTTGGAACTTTGAACATGATAATATTCAAAGATTTTAAAAATTCTAAGCTTTTTTTAAATGTAATGGTTTCTGGGTGGTCACAGAAACGATTAATTTAAAAAAAAAAAACGAAAGTGTGAAAAATCGAGTTATTCTAAAAAATAATTAAAAACAGTAGATTAATTAGAAAACTTTCTAAAATGTTTTTTTTTAATTTTGAAAGCACCCATACCTGGCAAGTTTTAAGCTAAATTTTTTTTATTCTAAATCGCGCTGCTTCATTTGTTTCCATTAATATTCCGTACCAAACTGAGTCACATTCGAAATGCAGATGTGACTGTTTTTCAATTTTTCGTTTATTTGTTATCTCCCAATGCGTGTGTGTGTCTATTTTTTTGACAAAGTATGACAAAAACCAAAAATCAAGGTCAAAAAGTTCCGGTTCAATAATATTTGACTATTAAGTATTACGTGTATTTTACGGCTGGCTAAACTCGGTCAATAAACTCTTTTAATTTTATACTGGTGTAAAACCGAAGTCACACCTCAATGCAAACAGATGACAACAAGTGTCAAAGTGAGAAAAAAAGATGACAAACGCTTGTAGGAGCGAACCGCATTATCATGAGTAAATAGTAAGATAAGTTGAAGTGGGTCTCCCTCCATGTGGAAAATAATGGAGAAAACGTGAAAAGGTCTTCCTTATGAATAGAAGAAGCTTTGAATTTCATTAAAGCTCTTCTATAGGTCCGCTAGGAAAACACTCGTAAAACGATTCATAGGGTTTTTATTAGAAGATTTATCTGGTCGCCTTAATATGACTACAATGGGAAGTCCGTTTTTGATATTTTATAGGGGAACCCAAAGATCTTAAAAAACCGAATGATATTGAAAACAATACATATGTGACTTCCCTAAGAAACCCTACCCTACTGCTCATATATAAGAAAATGTCATGGGCTTGTTTGAAATTAAGAACACATCATAGATTTCCATGAGAAGACAACTTGACCTTTTATGACCAGACTTCATATTCTTCAATATGAAAGCATCATGACATTCCTTGAGAAAACGTCTTAAACATCTACGAGAAGAGCGTTCGGCGTTTTATCTTCGACATTTTTATGGACTTCTTTGAAAAGACTTCAAGAACTTTTGAGAGAATACATCATGGTTCTTCCTGAGATCTCCTTGATTTTTCTTAAAAGGATCCTTTTGTTTTTTATGCCCATGAGAAAAAAATCCTCTAGGACAAGAACTCATCATGGACT